AGGCTCGGCCACCTCTGTACACTGCAGGTAGGAACCAAGCTTTCATTCAACACCTGGGCCCTCAGGGTACTCATACTGAAACCATAGCACCCAGGCCTGTGAACAGAAGAGTCACAGCATAATAGTCTCCAGATCTGGTAAGAAATAAAAATAATGTCTGGCTATTTTGCTAACTGGACAAGACCTGTGAAATCAGTGCCAGTGGCATATCCTGTCAACAGGGGCTGCATCTGACAGTTCAGCCTTCCTGAAAATCATATTTGGGGTGATGGAATAGCCTTGTGGTTAAAGTTCATCGGGACTCCATGCTTAGTTCATGCAACATCTTGAGTTCCAGCTCCAGCTTACAACTATGAGGAAAGTTCTAGAACTAGATTGTGGTGGTGTTTGGAAGCTGTGTAATGGTTATATAGCAAGTTTCATAGTATGTGTGTTGGTGCCTGTCTTCTTGGCTTTCACGGGCTGAAATGGGATTTGCCATGAATTCAAGGCCAGCTTGACATACAGAGTTCTAGATCAGCCTACATTAAAATGAAGAAAACAAAACAAAGCTACCACCTGTCACATGGCCATTCCATTTCTGAGAATCTGGGCTAGAGAAATAAGCCAAGATGGGCCCTAAACCCATCATAGTACTGTTTATATCAGCAGAGCAGGAACAATATCAGTGTCCAAAAATAGGGACAATATTAAATCATCAGAGTAGATTCATAATGGGCAATGTTATGTACCTAACAAGTCATTTTACTTTTTATATTTTTATTTATTTTGTGTGTATGGGGGGGTGAGGGTGTCATGTGTATCACAACATGTGTGTGTGTAGAGGTCAAAGGACAGCTTGTAAGAGTCAAGTGTCCCCTTCCATCATAATGGATCTCAGGGATAAAACTTAAGTCGTGTGATTTTACCCACTTAGCCATCTCCCAGGCCCTTAGTGATTTTTTTTTAAAAACATGGTACAAAAAGCTCTTATCACCAAGACTGACAACCAGAATGAGCCTCAGGACCCACACTTGCTAGTAGGACAAAACCAGCTCCCTCAAGTTATTCTCTGACCTCCACACATGCAAGAGTCATGGCATTGGCATGAACGTGTGTGCACACCCCCTGTGCATTCATTAAATAAATAAATGTAATTTTTTTTAATTAAAAGAGAAACCATGGGAAAGGGCCATAATGTGTTAACACACATACAGTTTTAGCTCTGCTTTTTAGCTGAGACACAGGGGCATGATTACTGGGAGAAAGGCTAATTTGGATGGGAGGCATCCTTTGCAATAATGCTAATCATTTCAAAGCAGTGCCTGGCCCCTCTGCAATGAACCAGGCCCTGGTCTCTACAACCAAGGTAGTCTGGACCACAGGGTCTCCTTTACAAAGGTCGACTTTATGAAATAGAAAAACTAGAGATTTCTCAGCAGTGGTGTTTATAAAGTTTTTATTTTCCATTTTCTTAAAAATAACATTTGCTTTCCTTTATGCATGGGTAGAGTGAACTTGTTTCCTTAGGCTGAGTAATAGGCAGATAAAGACCACGCACGCACAGCAAGGTGAGGGGCCAAAGGTGGAGGCAAGTGGGGATGGGCAAGGCTTGAGGGGATGTGGCGCAGAGGAAGGGGAGAGAGCGGGATGACCCGCGGGATGCTTGAATGCCCATCAACGCACACACAGATCTAACATGTTCAATTTTTTTAAAAAGACATCTAAATTACTGAGAGATACAATGTCAGCACTTAATCTACAAACGGAACCCAAGCACTTGACCACAATTGTTAATTCTAAGCTCAGTTATTGAACATTAGACAGTTTAAGTAGGACACGGGCTGTGAAGCGGGGGTGCTCTGCCTGGGACTTGTCAGGGATGTCTTGAATCTCCTTTTGCACCTCCAGGTCCTTCTCTGGGACAACGGCAGACCAGAAGGCCCCATATGACCCAGGTGTCAAAGATGAGCCCCTGATTCTCTCCAAGGGCTGTGGGCTCAGGCTTGGGTGAGATAATACCAAAAGACCCCACCCATCTACTCAGCGGTGAAGCCAGAAGCCGGAAGCACAGTTCAAGAAAGGCCAAATAAGTGCCATTCCAAAGCAGGGGTCTGGGGTAAGGAAGGACCTGTGCCCATCCATCACGTGTGGTCACAACCTCTGTGGGACACTGGGGGGTGCCCCTCACCAACTCTGGCCTTCTGCCAGAGCTCCCCAGGCTAAGCTCCACCCCATTACTCCTGGGACTTCTGAGTGAACTCTCAAGGCACATGTATTCCCTCCAACCCCAACCTGCCCCAAATATACCATCCCTCTCAGCACCCAGGGCCCCAGGAGTCTCCCGGTAGGGCAGTTCCAGGGCCCCTTTGAGATGTGGCTCTGCTGTAATGTGGTTGAACTCTTTCTCAACATAGCCCTAACATCCCCCCTCCCAGGCTACACCAAGGGAGTAAGAGCAGCAGGGAACCAGGGGGGGCTGGGCGGGCAATTTAGTCAAGGGTGAGGCCACAGGACCACAGTGACCTAACTTGTGACCTTGTTCCCGAGGAAACCCTAAGCTTGCTTAACCAGAAGCCACTGGGGGACCTTTGGCCCTGTCAGGAACAGCTGCTCTGCCCAACTTTGTGGGGCTCAGTCTCAGTGGAGTGAAAAGCAGTATGGGGCCTCTAGAGAAGGGCAAGCTTTCTGGACCCCTGCAGGCCTGCCACAGGCAAGTTCAACCCCTTTTGCTTTCTTCCGAACATATTTACAAAGTCAGATATACAACCAAAAAGTCCAGAGATACACAGAGCAAGCCCCACCCCCATACACACGGGGGGGGGGGGGTAGGGTGGGCAGAGTGGAAGTAGAGGGTGCTTCTTCCTCTGTACCCCCTCCCAATCCTGGAGAGCCTAAAATCCTTCTCCTCTACCCAGGAACATTCTGGAAATCCATCTGGGGCAGAGGAAGAATCAGACTCCAGCCTAGAGAGAGAGGGATGTTTCAAGTAACACCAGCCAGAGGAGAGGGGAGTGGTGAAGGAGGAGGGTGGGGAGGAAGAAGATGGGGAAGGAGGAGGGTGAGGAGGAGGAAGATGGGGAAGAGAAGGGAAAGGAGGAAGAGTCGCTGCTTCTGTAATGCAGAGGGCTGATGTGACTGAGCCAGGGACCAGAGGAAGGTGGCAGAGGCCTGAGGAAGAGAAGGAGGAGGAAGAGGATGGGATCAGATGATACCTGAAGAGTCAGAACTGTGTTGTGGAATGAGAAGCACTTTACAGAGCTCAATGGCATTTCCATATGCCCCCCCAGGAGATGACAAAGAAGGTGGCCATTCCAGGGTGGCAGAAAGGAAATGGAAGGGTGAGAGGCTTTTCCCCAGAATCCAACCAACTCTCAAGGAATGCATCCAGCCTGTACCCCAGGGTGCCAGGGAGAACTGCACTTGGGTCTTGGCTTGAAAGCCTCAGCAAAGAGCCTCAGAACTGTCCAGCCTCCCAGCCTTCCTCCCTCTCTCTCTCTCTCTCTCTCTCTCTCTCTCTCTCTCTCTCTCTCTCTCTCTCTCTCTCTCTCACACACACACACACACACACACACACACCAAAAGGTATTATCAGAGGCCCAGGTCCAGGTAAGAAATTATTCATCAAATATATTAAGAAATTTCCTTTGAAAGGGAAGAAATGGGAAACAATAAACACACAAAACCCTACAGGGCATCTGGGTAAGAGGACCTCCCATGGGCCCAAAGATTTGGGGGCATGGGGTATGGCCTCAGAGCCTAGCTGCGCAGTGTGGTCAACTCATGCATTCCTCTCTATTCATACATGCTGCAGGGCTTTAAGTAGAGCTTGGGGTACAGTTCTGCTAGGGCTATATGTCTTGGGACAGAGGAGACCCCGTGGTTGAGAGGACTGTGGCTTTGGTGGCTCTCCTCCAGGACTAACTCAAGGTGCAGGAAGTAGCAGCTTCCCATTGCTTCGTCACATAGGGTCTCTGGGACATCCTTTCTATTGGTCTGGGAAAGAGGGGACCATTTCCTTAGAGGGCCAGGGAGAAGGTGGGCACACATGCTGCTTTCTGGTCCTCTGCCCCTTAGGACAAGGGGAACCCTAGCCAGGGGACAGAGGGAGCAGCAGGTAGACCTCATAGCAGGCCACACCAAAGTTCAGCTCTATAATGACAGCCCCCTTTGCCAAGAAAGCATCCTAGATCCCCATGAGGCAACAGGTGCTGACTGGGTTAATTTGAAGTCTGGCAGCAAAGAACCTACTCTCCCTTTTATCACACCCTCTGCCTGTTCTCCTGGGCTATCTATCTCTGGTTTCCCAGGAATAAGTTAAGACATAATCTGTTAGGTGTTTCCAGCCTTTTGACACTTTGATCAAGCATTGCTATCTGTTGACACTCAAGAACTCCTTGGTCGAGTTATCCTCCCCCCCCCCACAAAAAAAACCAACCACCCATGTCTTAAGTAAGTCTACCATTTTGTGTTAGGCCACATTAATAGCTATCTTGAAGCATATGCAGCCCAAGGGCCATGGTTGGACATATCTGCAACTAGTTCTTCAGATATCAGAAGGGTAACCCTGGTGGTGCAGTGCTCTGCCCCTGCCCACCATCACTAGAAGATGGCCAGATCAGCCTGATTTGGGGAAGATGCCCAACTTACAGCTTCCTGCCCTTCCTCTCTTTGATCTCAGAAGATAGAGGAAGAAATCAAGAAGGGGCAGGGGAAAGTAGCATTAATTGAGCTGTGAGGAATAGCAGGGGTTGGGCTGAGGGACAGGATCAGGGGCATCTCATTTTGCTGATTTTGGCCCATTAATGTGTACATGTGTATGGATGTGTACATTTTAAAATCAACAACAAATGAGAAGAAAATAACTACAAGGAGGAAGGGGCCTTTGGATGTTTCACTGCTAGGAGCAGCATGGATCAAGGACACATCTGTCAGTACATGACACACGCACATGACATGCACGCACGCATGCATGCATGCACACACACACACACACACACACACACACACACACACACACACACACGTCACACATACCGCACTCTCCACTCCAGTCTCCCCTCTGGAGCCAGGGTCCTTCACACTGACTTCCGGATCCATTTGCTAAGTTGTCTGCTGTCGTCCAGGTTTCTTCTGGCCTGTCTCTCTGGCCATCGGCACCCTGGCCTGCCGAGGCCCTTGAAGGCCATCTACCAAATGTAGCCGCCATCATCTGCCTCACCAGCCTCACCCTCCTCCTCCTCAGCCTCCTCTCCTGTTTCTTCTGTCTCCTTTTCCTCCTCATCCTCCCAGCCGACACCACTTCCAAAGTCCCCTGAGAAACCTACGATGTCATCTGTTGGGAAAAAGTAGAAGGCTGGTAAGGAATCTACTGCATCTACTCTGAGCCAGGGGTCCTGCCCCACACATATGAACTCAGGAGCAGGTTCTCAGGCACCAGCTCTTACCACAGTCAGGGTTCCCATGCATGCGTGTGCCCGTCAGCTCCAGGCCCAGCTGGTCCACACACCAACAGTCACCACTGCTTTGGTCACACTGCATCTTCCGGTAATAGCCATCCTCATCACAGCTTGGGATGAAGACACCTGAGGGTGTGTGTGAGCAGGGGCCCAGTCAGCCTCAGGACCTGGCCAGCCTGGTACCAACACCCACCCACTCCCACCCCAAGAAACCAGACACTCAAGGATTGTTTCTTCCAGCACTACTAACTGGAAGCACAGATCTTCTTTCTCATCGTCCCTAAATCACATTCTCAGGCTACTTTGAGGGTGCCATTGACCACTGATGTTTCTTGGGTTCCACGACCTTCATCTTGTAGGACATTCTATCCTCACCTTGTTAGGAATCTCAATCCCATTCTTGGATTATCCCCAGCTAGAAGGGTAGGGATTCTCTTCCTTCTTCAGAACCACTTGTTTCTCTCAGGTCCCCAAACTATCCACTAGACATCTTGTGATTTGTTTACTTGGGGGGGATAAGAGCCATAGAGACAGCCAGGGTGACTTTGGGTACCCTAGAGTGGGAAGCCTACGACACAGGGGCCTGAAACGGATGGCAGAGTAGGTTCCTCTCCAAGGGCTGGAGGCCCGTGAGCCCAATCAGCACAGCCCTGTGGGGAATTGGGGGCTGGAGTCTCATTAGTGTATCTGTCTCATAAGCCCAGTCAAGTGACTCTCAGGGAGTTACAAGACTTGTGTTGTGTGGCCCGCACCTCAGGATCACTGTACCCTCAACATTACCTCCTTTTCTGCTGGGTTTCTCCCTCCCTCCCTCTCCCCCCCCCCCTTTCTCTCTGTCTTCCTTTCTTTCTTTCTTTTTCTTTTTTTTTTTTTTTTTTTTTTTTTTTGAGACCTCAAGATTTTTCCTGGTTCTGACAGTGTATGTGTCTGGCTTATTATCCTCCCTTGGGACAACCCGGTTCTTGACATTCTTAGACTAGTCTCCCAGAAAGATCTCTGCTGACCTCTTTCAGGAGGCTTATACCCATCTGCATTGTTCCACGGTCACTACACAGCAGTCTGAGGTGGGAATTCTCTTGATGTCAAGTGTTCCCATGGCTAGTCTGTCCAAAGGCCTTCCTTGGCCAAGAACCTTGTCTGCCTTGGCCATCAGTTCTCAGCTAGGCTGGGCTCACTCTCCTGTCTTTGCAGGGCTTTCCTTTAGAGCGTGAGTGAGCACCTCCCATGGAGGGGCCCCACTCCAGCCTTAGACACACATCTGTTATTGAATCCGAGTGGAGGAGGATTCTCCAGAAATGGGCTGGATAGCCATGAAGTGCTTAAACACACTCCCTGAGGGGCAGCCGAGGAGACTCTTGCCTATCAAACCCATGAAACCAAGAAGAGCATTTTCCTGTGTGGTCCTAGGCCAGGTCCTTCCCATAGGTTCATCATATGCCATGAAGAAGGGCAGCTGGCCTCTCTGGTTCTCAAGGGAACTCAGGGCAGCCTCCCTCCTCCTCTGCACTCCTTCTCACCTGGCTTCTTCTTGGCTGCCTCCTGGATCTGTGTGCGCTCCAGCTCTGCCAGGCAGGGGGGCTCTGTAGACAGAAGCAGTCTTAGGGTTGACCAATGCTGTTGAAAACACCCCTAAACTTAGAAGCCTTTGTGGGAGCTCTGCCTAATTAAACATCTGAACTCTCACATCAGACCACACCAGGATGGTGGTGGTATGCACAGATCCCACTAAGAGCCTCAAGCATGTATAGGGCTCTGATGAGTGAAAACTCCCAAGGTCTAATTAAGGACAGCACTACAGCTAAGGATCCTAAGATCTAGGGGTGTTGGCACTCATAGGGTGAGTATAAAGAATTCAAAAGAAAGCTGGGTATAATGATGTACCCCTTTAATCACATCACTCTGTAGGCAGAGGCAGAGACAGGTGGATCTCAGTGAGTTTCAGGCCAGTCTGGTCTACATAGACAGTTTCAGGACAGCCAGAGTCAGATAGTGAGATCTTATCTCAAAAAAACAAAAACAATACCCAAACCCAAAACACTGGTGGTTTGAATAGGTATGGCTCCAGAGATTCGTGTGTTTCAATGCTTGGTCTTTAGGAAGTGGCACTATTAGGGGGTGCTCAAGCTATGTTCAGGGTGGCATGCAGTCTCCTTCTGTTGCCTGTGAATCAAGATGTAGAATTATCAATCCCTTCTCTGTCTGAATGCCACCAAGCTTCTCAACATGATAATAATGGAATAAACCTCTGAAACTGCAGGCCAGCACCAATTAAATGTTTTCCTTTATAAGAGTTGCTGTGGTCATGGTGTTCTGGCTCTGAGCATCTGCAGCTAACAAATGTCATGCAGCAGGTGTGATAATATGTTGTATACTCCCAGCACTGAGGAGGCTAAGACAAACAAGAGAATCACAAGCTCAAGGCCAGCCTGGAATACAGGGTGATTTGTAAGCCAGTTTAGTCTATATGATACCCTGTCTTGAAAAGAGGAAAGAAACACAAATAAAAGCCAAAGCTGGGTGTGGTGGCATATGCCTGAAATCCCAACACTGGGAACTACAGGAAAGGTTGGTTTCAGATACATGGTGAGTTCCAGAACAGCGCAGGGTATGTGAAATCCTATCTCAAGAAGAAGAAGAAGAAGAAGAAAAAGAATGTCTTCACACGTGTCTTTACATGAACAATAACTTACATAAGTTTGGGGCAAAGCAGGTATGTCCATCAGAAGGGAAATCACTGAAAAGCTAATGTGTCTTCAACTCTGATAGCTTCATTCACACCACCCCTGCTCAGATTCTCCAAGGGGCCCCAAATCTCCACATTTATAATTATGTGTTTACCATGTGTGTATGATGTATGTGTATATGTGTGCTCCTGTGTTTCAGAGGGCAGGCATGAGCATGCATGCATGTGGATGTTAGAGGTCAATTTCTCAAGACAGCTCTCTCCTTCCACATTTATGTATGTTCTGGGGCTGGAGCTCAGGTCATCAGCACAAACACTTTAACCCACCAAACCAGCCCTTAGCCCCACATTTATTATCTTTTTTCAAAAGTGCATGAGCTTCAGGCCCCCACAAAATCCAGTCCACCTAGAATCCTGCCCAGGGAGAGAGCTAAGTGTCAGCTGCCCTGGGTTCTAATTGATGAGTGAAGCCCAGGTAGATACAGCAAGGAGGTGGGCTGGGAAGGTTCTGGACCTAAGCATGTGACCAAAAGGCAACTGTTATGACTACCAAAGAGAGACTGGGGCTGAGAGACCCCAGAAAGGAAGTCAGTGCCAAAGAACCACAGGGCCATACTTACTCTCCCTCCAGAAGCAGAGGCACCACTCAGCAGTAGAAACCCGGCCATCTTTGTAGGTATCGCAGGAGTTGAAGAAGGGGCGGATGCAGACCTCATATTTGTCCAGGTTGATGGCAGCCAGTTCTGTCTGGTCCAAGAAGAGATCTCCACTGGTGTCCAGCTTGGAGAACATCCAACCAATGGAGTCCTTGCAACTGGCCCCCAGGTTCTTGTCCAGCCCTAGGGAGGAGATTGGGGTTGCTGTCTGTCCATCCATCTTGCTATATCTTTCTCAGATTAACCTGGAACCTAACCTTGGGATTCAGAAAATGAATAGCCGAAGGCCTTTGCCTCTACCCCTACACAGAACTATACCTGACTCACTTAAGCCCATTTTATAAACCCTTCAGAATATGTTTCTTCAGGAGCTGGAGAGACGGGCTCAGTGGTTAAGAGCACTGCCTACTCTTCCAGAGGACCCAGGTACAATTCCCAGCACCCACACAGCAGCTCATACCTGTCTGTTACTCCAGTTCTTCACACCAATGCACATAAAATTGAATAACCTGTTATTTCTGTTATTTAAAAAAGTTCCTGTACCCACGTATTACAGTTGAAGCCAACCTCCCTTCTTCCAAATGAAGCTCTTTGGGGGTTCACATCAAAGGCTCAAGATCTGACAAGAAGGGGCACATCTGTGCACACCTGTTTGCCAGGCCCCTTTCTGTCTTCCTGACCCCACCCTGCCCCAGGCAAAGCATTGGTTCCCCATGCCACCTGCGGGGTTGGTTGCACTGCTGGCTGAGCCATTCTGCTTGGAGTTCTCACGAAGGAGCTGGAACCAGTCTCGGAGTCTATCCCCCAGGTCAGCCAGGTCCTGTCCTGTGCAGGTCTCTGCGGTGCAGAACAGAGCAGAGGTTCCAGGAGGGATGGGGTGAAGCAGAAGCCCTGGATGCTGGGCAATGGTCAGGGGAACAGGAGAAGGGAGGAGGGGCTTCCTCTCTTCCCATCTCCCTACCCCTGCCATTTGCTCTGCCCCTCTCTCCCATTCAGTCTAGCAAGGCTCCTTGTGAAAGGACTACCATCTTCCCCAACACCTTGAGAAAAGAAAAGGAATGAAGCCCCAGTGTCCTGCTCTTTGTCACCAGGACCCCAAACTCCACAGGTTCCAACACCTTTCCCTGTTATGACCAATTGTTCCTTCCCATTCTTCAAACTATCCTACGGTCCTGAAGGGTGATTACCTGACTTGCCATCGGTGGCGGATGTAGTTGCCTGCTCCGTGGGACAGGGACAGGGGCCCTCACATCTCACCGCCAGCTGCTTGCTGCTCAGGCATGCCTGCTGTTCCAGTTTACACTGCACGAGAGAGCTCAGGCTAGGTGATGAGGGCTCAACTACAGGTCCTGCAGCCAGGGGCCCTGAGGGTTTCAATCTCCCCAGAAAGAAGGACCACGGGGTTTTTGTGCTTGCTAGAAGACAGCGAGGCCAAGGGAGGCCCAGGGCTGTGCCATGAGTTTGAGGTGGAAGCCAGACCTCTTGGACCTTTCTTGGCAGCTTCCTACCCACAAGATACCTTGTCCTCTCACATGGAGTATACCTTCTTTCTCCTCCCCGTCTGCACCCTTCTTTTTTCTCCTTCCCCTCTTCCTCCCAACTCCTCTCTCCTCACTTCTTCTAGCTTCTTTGTAAGCTCCATGGCTCCTATATGCATCCTCATACCTATTGTTCTTTCTCTCCTCTCTTCCTTCCCCTCCCCACCCTGTGACCACATCCCCTCAGCAAGGACCTCTTTAGCTTTGGAGCCTGTCTTGATACTTGCTTTTGCAGACAAGGCTGGCCTTGAACTCACAAAGATCCACTTGCCTCTGCCTCCCAAGTGCTGAGATTAAAAATGTGTATCACCATGCCCGGCTCAGAAAGGACCTCTTACATATGCACCTTGTGCCAGCCCAAAGGCTCTCTCCAGGTCTGGGGTGACAGTCCATGATTAAGGTGCTTGTCGTACAAACATTGGGACCTGAATTTAGACCCCCCAGAAATCACATGAATGACAGGTAGGCATGGAGCACATCTGTAAATCTAGCCTCAGAAGGCAGAAACAGGGGATCCCCCTGTTACTAACAAGACTAGCAATATCACTGGGAAACCCTAATCTAAGAAGGAAAGACAATGGAGGGGTCCAAACATCAACCTGAGTGTACGTACACACACACACACACACACACACACACACACACAAAAGAAAAAAAAATAGAAAAAGAAAAAAGTGTGTGTGGGGGGGTTCTCCTCAACTCAACGCTAGCTAAGCAGCCCTAACTACTCCTTCTAGAAAAATACTAACCAGCACCTATGCTTCTCTGGAACTCTTCAGTTTGTAAAGGTGCATTCACAAATAGCTTCTCAAAATTCCTCAAGGTAGGAATCTATACACTCCCAAGGTTCTTCCTCTGATGGAGCCTGTGCCCTACCCACAACGCCCCCTGCTGGCTGGTGAGCATGGAGACCTCAGTATGAAAGTCCTTTCTTCTTCCCAGCAAAACTGACCAATGAGCTCCCTCCTTCCAACCAGAGCTCTGGTATTTTGTACACTTTTCCCTGGTTTATTCCACATGTATTACCTGCCCAAACATGCCTTCATGTCTCTTCCCTGCCCTCCACCATGGCCAGGGCTGAAGGGCTGCCCTGAACACACTGACCCAGCCCTGCATCAATCCTAGGAACTCATCAGGAGATCAGTAAGTGGTTCCTCTGTTCCCGTGGCTCTGGGTACACCCCACGCCCACCTCACACACGACCAAGGCTACTCACCACCGAGCTGTAGGTGTGGCCATCAGAGCCACAGACTGAAGCGAGCTGGGCCATGTGACAGGGCTTGCAAGTGGAGTCTTTGTTTCCATGGAGTTTCTGAGAGGGCTGTTTGATCCTGTGAGAAGGGATGGGGAAGATGTGGGGATGGAAATAAAGGTAACAGAAGGGCAGAAGGCCCGTGAGACCCACAACATGCAGTAAACCACTCACCCACCCTGCCCATCCTCTCCCATCACTCCCTTATCAGACCCAGCTCCAAAGAATGGACCAACTGGGCAGGACATGGGCCCTCACTAGGCCTTTTTCAGGGAGCAAAGAGAGATCTGATTGCAAGAGGGATCAAAAAGAGCTGAGGCCATGGGCCACATCTGGTGTACACACAGTTGTTTTGTTTCACCACCAGGAAGTTACTGTTGTGTTTTTCATGAACATTCACAAAATGGGAGAGTTGGCATAACAACCCCCAAATGCCCAATGCCTCCTCCATAGGCCTCACAAACTAGAGTCTTCAATATTTTGTGAAACCCCCACATGTCAGAACAGGGGACTTCGGGTTGTCTGGTCTAACCTGTTTGTCTAAGACACACAGGACACCCAGCTAGTCCTGTTTTGGTGAGATGTGGAGTATGTTCTCTCTCTCTCTCTCTCTCTCTCTCTCTCTCTCTCTCTCTCTCTCTCTCTCTCTCTCTCTCTCTCTCTCTCTCCCTTTCTCCCTCCCTCACTTCCTTTCTCTCCAATTTCTCTCCATTTATGGAGAGCCAGTTGCCATAAGGGTGAGGGCACCCAAACCTCCCTATGGAGCTTTCCGGTGACTGGGAACTCACACCTCCCAACGACAGCCAGGACTTCCCCTACATTTCCATGGAATTCTGAAATTCAAACTTGCACAAATATCCTCTCCTTAATCCCCTAACACCAAAACAAAACCAAAAGATCTCTCAAGGTGGGAATCTTTCATTTTCTTGAAGAGACCATGTCTTCCTGCCCACAATGCCCCCCTGGTTGCTGGTGACCTCAGAGGGAAAGTCATTGTCTTTTATCGAAGACCCTGTGCCAGAACCAACCAAACCAACAGAACCAATCCTGGATGTCCTAACCCTTAGAAACAATCCAATCACATGATCTTGTTATGCATCACTAAACTGTGAGTGATGTGTTCTCCAACAGCAGATGCCTAATATGTAAGGAGGGGTCATAGAGTCCCACTCTGAACAAAGCAGACCTCTCTGGGGCTCCTGTCACTCACCTGTGCTCCAGTTTCTTGCGGCTGATGCACATGGCCCGCTGGTAGCCTTGGGCAATGCACACCTTGTGGCGACTGCACTTTACCTTCTGGCAGGGGTCCTTGGTGGTGTCCAGGGCTGTGGGGACACAAGGTTGGGACACTGACCACCTAGAAGCACCCAGGGTCCCCAGTCCAACTGCAGACCCTAGAGGTTCCTCTCTCCAGCCACCCTCAATAACCAGAGTTCAGGACTTCAAGTCCTGTACCCAAGGTACTGGCTGTCCAAAGTCCCAGAGCAGTCGTAGCTCTTCTATTCCCATGGGTGTGGGACTCCTCCCTCACACACCTGGAAGGGACATGCTACCTTCATCTCCTTGCTGATTGTCCTCCCAGCTCTTGATGTAGTCATCCTAGGAAGAGTTAGAGGGATGGGGAGAAAGGAAGGGCCCAATCACATGTCAGGGCTAAGGCTCAATTGCAGGGACCAGGATGGGAGAGGCCTGGGCTACTATTTCCACACAACAACCACAGTTGCCCACCCAGGCATTGCCCATAGCCTCCCCACACTTGATACCCTAGAACCCTTTCCAGTCTCTCCCACACTTCTCTCCACCCCACACTGGTGCTTGCAGGGGAAGAGAAACAGTTGGGATGAGGCCTGGGTTATACTTACTTCTACTTCCTGGAGACAGGATGCCATCGAATCCACAGGAAATGAGCAGGGGAAAGAAAGAGAAAGGAAGGACTTCACTGTGAGGCCCACCCATGGACCATGACTCCCAAGGCATCCCTAGCCTTTTTGATTGTGTCTCTAAACCCAGCAACACCATTTGGAAACCAATATTCCTATTTCTTCATTACAGAAAACTTACACTCTGGAAGCTGCAAGGTAAGGCCCATGGTTTTGAAAGGATAACAAACCCCAGCCCAGTGCTGGCCCTGCCACCAAGGCAGATGTCGAGGGAGCTGTACTGTCTGGGAATGGTTTCTCATGCCTCTGCCCTGGGTAGCTGGGAAACAGCACCCAGCTTTTCCCTGCAGCCCCTTCTTTGGCAGGCACCCTGCTGTCACCTGCCCACCCTGTGAGGGAGGTGTGAGGAAGAGTCCTCTCGTCCAAGCTGTGGGAAAGCTGGCAGAGCCCAGATGGTGAACAGTGGGAAGGGGGCAACAGCACCAGTGGCGAGGCTTCCCTGATTATCATGGACCAGGGAACCTTGAAAGGTCCTTCCAGGTCCCGTGAGCTAGCCCTTCCTGGGTAGAAGAAACAAGGATATTCAGAGATGGGCAATTAGCTGATTCAGATCACACCTTCACTGACCCAGATCTCAGCTGCCATAGCCCTCTCTTCCCACTACATCACAGGGTCTCTGAAACCCAGGCCCTTGGAGATCTTCCCACTCCATTCTGTCCCATGGCCTGGGGACCACAGCCTGGCTAGAGGTAGGAGGCTTCCCATCTATCTCCCTTAGCTTCCTCCCTTTGCCATCAAACAGCTTTCAGGGTGTCTGGAAGAATCTGCCAGGCAGGTAGGATCAGCTTCTGGACCCTGGAGGATATTAGTACTGAGAGCCAGCCAGCAGCCTTCTCTACATGGGACACTGATGAGAAAACTCACACAACCACCTGCAACCCATCCTTTTCTTTGCCATACTTCTGTCAGAGATGTAAGGGGTAGACATGGCATGGGCCTGATGTTTAGCTGTTATGCCCAAGAGAAAAAGGCATGTGATTCTGGCATCACAGGGGAACCCAGTGGGAATGACAGGGGTACACAATGAAGAGATGCTCATGAGGGCTTTGGAAGCCTCCTCTGGAAATTGGCAGGCAACAGGGCAGAGGGGATAAAGGCTCCCATGGAAGAGCCAAACAGGCAATGGTCAAAATAAATGGGCCATCCATCCATTCAGGCCTATCTAGGTGCATACATGTGTGCCTTAGGGCATGTAATGTGTGTGTGTGTTGTGTGCAGCCATGTGTGCACATACCCCCTCCTCATTTGTATGGGTATGTACATGAGCATACACATGAGCACATGAACGCAGGGACACTTAAGGCCATCCACCAGTGCCAGATGGTTTGCATCTAGAAATGAAGTAGCGCCTCCGGTTTTCACACTGAGCACAGCCTTCCTGCCTCTTTCCATAGATAGGGAAGGTATTAAGAGATGGATGGGAAAGGAGGGAGTGGCCCTGAGAGGAACAGGCTCCCTGGTAGGGAGGGTGTGGCTCTTAGGACGCCTCTGCCTGCCTCTCATCTTGCTCTCTGTGTCTCTCCCATCTGGCCTCTCCCCTCCCTACCCCTTAGTTCTCCTCACCATGGACCCCACAACATACTCAATCAGCCAAGTATCTCCCAGCTGTTGGGCTCAGGGTCAGACAGGAGAAAGGTCAGCAGGGCCCAACACTCCAGGCTTGCTCTGAAGGCCACAGGATGAATGTCACCCCGCCCCCAAACCTGGTCCTTTGCTGGGGCCAAAGAATGACAGTTCAGTTCTAGTCCTTTTCCAGCACCTTGGGGGCAGGGTTCCTCTGCTGGAATCCTCCTTTATCAGAGATGGGTTGAGAATGGCCAAGTAGCTGAGGCCAGGAGACTGGGGCAGAAGTAGGCACCAGCCTCTTTGGTGTGTGTGTGGGGGGTGGGGGGTTCTCCTGCTGGGATCTGGTTGTTAAGTGGGGAGGGTGGATTGGTGCTGCATGTCAATAATTGCAGCAGTCAGGAGCTAAGGCAGGAAGACATCCAGTTCAAAGATAGTCTGAGCTGCATCCTGGGACCGTCTCAAGCACAGAGGATGCTGTGATTAGTTGGGATTTGGGAAGCAAGTGTGATCTGGCTGTGCTTGGCCTTCAAGATCTGTGCTCTCAACACTCGCCCAATCCAATGCTGGAGTGGGCAGGGCCTGAGGTGATCTATGATCTTCTCACTCAGGGGTACCTGCTAAGGGCCTTGGAGCCCACTCAATATACTTCAGCTGGAACCCACTATAGCTAGACTGTAGGTAGAACCCTGGGACTCAGTGCAAAGTGGCTCTTTAAAGCTTAAGGCCAAGAATGTCAGATTAGAGACTTGATAGTGGGGAGGGCATTAAAGGATCCACCTATGCCATGCCCCACCCCAACGAGGGGTAGCCTCCATCTGACAGAGGATGACAGAGAGGGACAGAGGAGGCCCTTCTGGACAGGAGCAACATTCCAGAATCCATCTAAGCCCTATAACCCACTGCCATGCACAGCTGGGGAAGGGCTGGAATCCCTTGCATCTCAGACACTAACTCCTGGGAGGGGGGATGAGAATAGGAGCACCCAGGGCCCCAGCTTTCCTTTGCTAGTACTTCATACACACTCCTGGCCTCTCTGAGAGGAGCACTCCCCATAGTGAAGCTGTTCTGTCAACAAGAAACTCAGATTTAGATGCAGAATGGGGGACAGAGATGAAAGGTGAGGGGCTCCTGGGAGTTGAAGGAAGAAGGGTCACTGCTGGAGAGCAGAGTCCAGTGGGGATGGGAGAAGAACCACTCTCCATAGGGGTCACAGGGAGAGTTGACAAAGGCATCTTGCAGGCAGCATGGAAAGGTCGCTCTGGGGTAGAAGTCAGATGGGGGCAGCCAGTACCATCTACAAGCAGGTGAAGGTGATTGTGGTTAACTGGGAATCACACCCTTCCTGCAATGTGTCTATTTATGGTACACAAGTGGGCTTATTAGAGGTTCTTGGGAAAGAAGATGCCCTATGGCTCTGCTACAATCCATCCTCACCTGACAGGGTTTTGTGAGCCTTTCTCCAGTGCTCTGGAGCAGGAGCCAGAGCAGACAGGAGGAGATAAATGGGTACTGATAGAGGGACACGCCTGTCTTCCCTGCCTAGTGCACTCAATAGGATCCCATAGCAGGCAAGTGAGAAAAGCTTCTAGAATGTATAAGGAATGGTGATTTTAAAGTAAGTTCCCAGGTTGGGGTTATAGTTCAGTTGGTAGGGTGCTCATCCAGCACGAAGGAGGCCCCAAGTTCCACCCCCCAGGAGTTCAGAAACTGTGTGGCAGCTCACTTACAATCCCAGCTTTCCAGAGGTGGTAGAGGTAGGAGGATCAGGAGTTCAAGGTCATCTTCAGCTACATGGTGAGGTCAAGGCTACCCTAGACATAGGAGACCCTATCTCTTTAAATGAAAATAAGAAACCAGTCCTTTCCAAACACTTTGCAGCAGCAACATTAAACATGAGAAAATTCATTTTTAGGGGTATAGGGAATCATAACAACTGGGCAGAAGACAGTAAGAGGAAGGCCTGGCATCACCATTCCCTGCCTTAAAGAGGGATACAAGGGGGAAAGGCTGCAAACCATGTCCTTAAAACACCACTCATCCACAAAAGCTCAGATCTCTACTCTGTACTTCATGAGCCAGGGCTCACAATAGGTCTCCCCATTCCCAAATACCATCAGGGACTGCTCAGTCACATGAGTTGGTTCTTGTCAAGCTCTGGGCAGCCAGTAGGCTAGGGTTCAAGTCTATACTCCCTCCAGCTGTGTGTCTTCTGGCACTCTGCTTATGCCCTCTGATTTCTTCAGCTCTACCAGAGCCTGGGGGAGAGAAAGAGCAGCCATTTGATCTCCCTCTGAGTAGAGTGTCACACGGCCCTTTCCAAGCCACCTCCTCTGCCTCCCCTACCACTCTCTCCAGTCCACACTGGTCCTCCAAGACAGCTGAGCTTGAATTCCTCCAGAAACCCCTGTTGGCTTTGCAGTAACCTTCCCCAGGCCAGTGCCAGTTACCCCTTTTTTCCTGACCATGTCCCCTTTTTAACTGCACTCATTTATTTGGAAGGGTGGATGGACAGATAAACAGACAGGGTAAGAGAAAAAATTCCAATCACAGTGTTAGCAAGATGTTTCCTCTTGCAGAAGACACTTAGCATTTCATGCTCTCCCCCATCTTCATTTTTTTTTTTCTGCAACTAACAGATATGAGAGGGAAAAATCACCTCACCATAAATTTTACATTTAGAAACCCTCCTCTGGTCCCCTGACACCTTCAAAAGGTTCATCTTGTCATCTGTGTCTGACCACCTAGCCCAACGTCCACCCAGGGATCTCTCAGCAGGCCATGGCTTTGCACAGCTGCCTTCTGCATTTGGCACACATGTTCATGTCTGACTCCAGAACAGCTGGAGTCTGTCACAACCCAGCCCAGCATCATCTTCCCAAACCCCGCCCTTGCCTGGTTGTCCTACCTTGAAGAGTCAAGTGTAGTTCTGGTGACACCCACCCAGCAATGTCACTGTTTCTGCTTCCCTGTCTTATTTACCCAGCCAGTTCCTTAAGGGAAGATACCGTATAGAGTTCATCGTTCCCTGCCCAGCACCCAGTACAAAGTGATAACTCTAGTAACAATAGCCAACTGTCTTTACACCAAGTACCACTAGGGAAGCATTACGCTAAGTACTTTCTACTCCCTGCCTTGTTTACTCTTTGCAGAAACCCTAAGAGAAACTTACTGCTGCTATCTCGATTTCTCAAGTGATGAAACTGAAGTGACTCATGAAGGATTTCACAGCAATTGCATGACAGAATACTGGTCCCAAAACCCATGTCCCTAAACAGCACACCATAAATGTTAACTGAGAAAGACAGACCTACATCGGGTAGAACCAGGAAGTCGTATTCCAGGCGATGGGTAGTTCCTCCTACTTT